TCCATCAGCTGTGGAACAGCAGTCACTGTGAACACGTTCAGACTCTCTGACATCATCAGGCTGATCATCAGAGCTCAGCTCACCTGCTTCAGGTCCTCCAGGTACGCGTCCACACCTGTGGGCAGCTGGATCTTCATCACGGTCAGACTGGACTCGGTGAACACCTCGTTAGGAGGAGGTTTATACCTGAAACACAGGTACGTGTCCTCTATGCAACATTCAGTTACTAAACATTTTCCTGCTATCGTGCTTTGATGATGACGACGTGGAAAATTGGAGCGTCTGATTCGTCAGCCTGTCCTCATTCATGAAGCGTCTACATCACAGCTGACATCCTCCTGTTTCAGAGCAGCTTCCTGTGACTGCGTCACACACAGAGTGGACACTTTGGCTTCAACATAAACTTACTGCTGCAGCACCAAAGTGACCTCAGACTGATCCTGTCAGGATCCCGGCTCTCCTGACCCAGCGTTTGGTACTTCTACTGATTTTTGTATTTTGTACTCGTGTGATTTATTCTATGGTTTCTAGTTTTGATCCCTTGCCCCTCATGTTTCTCCGTGTCCCCTCTGTTTTGTGTAAAGTCCGTGTTTCTTGGTCTGTGTCTTCGCATGTTTTGAGTTTCTTGTATTTTCTGTCACTCTGTATTGTGACTTATGTTCTAATGGTTGGTCTTTTGTTTCTCCTTGAGTCTAGTTTCTTGTGTTCCAGGATTTCGCTCTGTGTATTATTTATCATCTCTTTTGGTTCTTTGCCTTATGGTTATGTCTCTGTGTTTCTTAGTTGCTCTGTCTCCACCCTGTCAAGCTCACGTCTCAGTGTTATACTTCCTGTTTTACTTTGAAGGTCTGTGTCTGATGTGAGTGTATCTTACTTTGCTTCCTTGTCTCGTCAGTTCTGATTTCTCCCAGCTGTGCTCTCCTTCTGTGTCTCATTCCCTCGTTATTCCCTAGTGTATTTAAGCCCTGTGTTTCTCTGTGTCAGTGTCGCGTCGTCCCTCATGCTGTGTGGCTCGCCCTGTGAGTTTAGTTGAGTTTAGTTGAGTTTAGTTGAGTTTAGTTGAGTTTAGTTGAGTTTAGTTGAGTTTAGTTTAGTTTAGTTTAGTTTAGTTTGCTCGTTTTCCTGTGCCAGCAAATAAAGCTGTGATTTTGAGTTCATCCCTCCAGACTGAGTGTCTGCATTTTGGGTCCGACTCCTGCCTGCCACACAGCGCTTCTTGGCAGATTTTTAGTTTGAGTGTCCTTATTTTCCTCTGAGCTATGGATTCTGTCACTAGTTAGGTAACATAAACTAGTGAAAGTCTGTTAACCACAACCAACCCAGTGACGTCACCCTCTGTAGTTACATGTGTGACAGCTTT